GAATTTACAGGGCAGGATTCCAACACTAGTGAGCAGAGGATTCATGTGGCTTCTCCCAGCCCAGTCCTTCTCATTGCTAACTCTTGACCAGAGCTGTCACCTGTGGAAAGGAGTTCATCTATTCCCATGGAGAAAACCACCTAATCTGCCCACCTGATGCTAGATCCCCTGCTGGCCAGGTCCCCAATTTATATGTCACCCTTCAAAAGTTGCTTATGCTTATGTTAGCAACAAAATCAAATAGCTATAACTTTCCAAGTCCTGAGCCTTATTTCCTTAAGAAAGATTCTAATCAGAAACACAATGCAGTAAATTACATCTTCTTTCAGCAATTTAGTTTTCAGCCTTGTTTTTCAACCCAACTTTTGTGCTTGAGGTTAATGTTTTTGCCTGAGGTGTTGAATGAATATTGGAAATTTGACAAAGGAAGACAAAAGACAACAAATAAGGGAAAAGAGAATGGAACCAAGAGTTTATTGAAGACTGGGAATAAGTTGACTATGCTATGAAAATAGCAAATATGGATAAATTAGACTTTTTGAATCAAAACTGTCTAACAAGCAGCTTGTTAGTTTAAGTAAGGCTCTCAGTAAAGTGTAGTCTGACTTGCATTTCCCATGATTCCCTGTTCTTCAGACCAAGCTCCAAACACCAAGAGCATTCAGCATTTAAGTAAAGGGAGAAGCAATTCCTTTGGGGTTGTTGCTTTAGAATAATGACAGCAAGTAGACAGTTTGGCAGCAGCCTGTATTCTCCAGAGAACAGGAAAAGAGACACTTGTGAGGGGTGATTCCCGCCCCCATACATGTTTTTAAAGTCACATTGGGCATGTCCATCTAAGTTCAAGTTCACGTGCTGCAACCCACAACAGCAGGGAGAGTTTCTTCTTTATAAAGCTTCCAGGAAAGCAAATCATCTCACCCATGTCTGAATCAAAGAAGGAAAACTCCAGGCAAAGATGGAATAGCATTCAGAGTATGCGAGCATACACACACCAAGACAGTCACACTGAGCACTTACCTGCAATATACATGTGCAGGGCCCCCTCCATGACAGCCCAGACAGTAGCTTCTATCATCTGATTTGAAAAGTCCAGTAGAGTCCTGTGTATTATTTAATTGAAAAAGTTTCATAATAACAACAGTTCCTTGAAGGATTCAGACGCATGTTGAGGCTAGTTTGATGTGGCAAAACTTTAAGAGCTCAAGATGTTTCCCCAAGAGAGATGAAGGACATGCCAAGTATGGCTGCCTCATTGAGATGACAATTTAAAGGATACAGAGACTCTCTGGGAGAGGTGACAGGGATGTGCCACAATGGTAATGATGAATAGCACAGAAAGCACGATTGTGGTACTACCAAAGCCAGGCCCCTCACCATGCACCCCTCAGTACTTCAGCAAGGATCTAACCTAGGAAAAAGATGAATTATACAAGCTGCCTTGGATATGAGAAGCATAATCTGAACAGAATATATAAATGAGGTTATTATATTTTAGCGCCCGTGTGAATCAGGAAAAATAAAGCATATTCACAATTGTGAAGAAAATTGAGTTCAGAAGCTGGGAGTTCACAAAATGGCAGTTGAGCTGAATAAGTGGCACAATACACCATACTTGCCAAGAATATATATGAAGGTTCTCTGGTGGTCATCTGAGGCTGGAGTAGCCTGGGGAAGCAAGTGAACTCAAGCTTTCTGTTTGAAATGGAGAGTTTGCCTGAGAAGAATTTTCCCCGGGTTTCTACATGCAGTGACAATCAAGATTACTGCAAATGTAAAAAGAATAGTTTAATACTGTCCCAAAATTTAGATAAATTACACTGATGCAGGATGACTGATGTTGGTCAAAGATTGTGGTAAGTACTAGTAATCCAGAAATAAAAGGAGCTGAGAGTTATTCTTGTGAAAAATGGATGACATGGAGTATGTAAATAATGGGAGCAAATGCAGCAAGATACAGAGAATCTTAAAACATTTAAAATCTAGTACATTACAAAGAGAGTTCAATGCTGATAAATGTAAAATAATAAGTTTTATGGGGCTTTATCATATGCTGTGAGTTGATGTGGATCATAATATATGGGGAATAAAAAAGTAGGAGAGTTAAAAGATAAGTCTGCACATTATTTATGACTGATGAAGAGAGAAATGAATGAGAAGAAGAACAGGTAGACAATGTCTTGAATAATGATGACTTTGATGAGTTGTTATCACACAAATCTGTGTGCTTCATAAAATACGATGAATACTAAAGAGCAAAAGAGTCTAAAGACAAGTCTACTCAGAATGAGATACTGAATGAAGGGAGAAAGGAATACAAGAGAAATGCCCAGACTAATGATGACTTTTATGAGACTTTCACTCACCAGCCTGGTCCTTCATAAATATAAGCTGTATAGGAAATAAACGAGCAGCAAAGAAAAGAGGTCTGTATCTGCCATAAAATATGAGCAAATAATGCCAACTAGGCTTGACAAAATAAAAAAATTAAATAATTGAGCCTAATAGAGCTGTGGGAAGACACAATGTCTAGATTAATGTGAACAAATAAAATGAGCAAGGGTAGAATTATCTTGCCAAGAGGGAATCAGCTACTACCTAGGTATGCATTATTGTTGCAAAGGCCACCTTGTTAACTGGTAGAGCCTTGGCAAGTTCACAATTACGTCCCACTACACCCCCAAAAAAGCCATCAGCACTTAGGACTCAGGAAACAATGTTTAACAGATTTTCAACTGGTTTGGCCTCATTAACATACAGTCTCTTTTCAGCCCCTCTGGCTCCAATTCCTATATACTTTGCAGAAGGTTTTCTCAGCTTGTTTATACTTAATTCATACCCAACTTGTTAAATTTTGCTTTGTAAAATGTTACTGTCTACTAGTATAACTAGAATCCTCCTTTTATTTTCATTTCTTGTTACATAGAACTTAGAAATGAGACCAGATCTCTCGGGATTGGTTCAAAATCCAGAATTCAATGACTTTCAACTGTCTTCTCTATTAGAACAAATGGTATTTCAATATCTTCCCAAAAGACACTGGGGGAATCAGACAAGGCAAAGCAAGTGTCAATATGCCATTACCATGCCATTCAGAACCATAACAAAGAATTCATTAAATGGACAGCCCGTTGGACAGAAACCCACTGATCTACATCAGAACTAGGAATTTGGGTCTATGAGCTCAATATACAAACACACTTATAGCAACAATTATACTAGCTTACTCTATGTAATATTTAATGGTGTGTAGTTTGTGTTGTAGGAAGGCCTTAGGTAATCAGGATAAATCCTATACATATAACATATCCAATTCCTTTGATTGCAATAGACTTTACTAGTGAAGTTTATTAGCTATAGCATATAAAACAAGTGTTGACTGGTTTTTCAGAGATTTTTTTTTCTCTCACGCAAATGATCTGTGTGGCCATGAGTCTTTAGATACATGGCCTTGAATTGCTGATTCTGTTCAAATAATGTATAATGTCAGGATGAAATTATGGTTACTTTGGAAAGCCATATTTGCCCAAATAACATGTGCCCTTTTTTAATTGATCTTGGCAGGAAGGGGAGAGGCAGAGAGAGAGAGAGGGAGGGAGGAAAATATATTTTTTATTAATTTCAGAGAGAGAGAGGGAGAGAGAGAGAGAGAAATCAGCTCCTCCTATAAGCATCCCAATAGCAGATGGAACCCACAGCAACCCGGGCATATGCCCCGACCTTGAACCGAACCCACCATCCCCAGGTCTATGGGACAAGGCTCCAATCCACTTAGCCACACTGGTCAGGGCAACATGGCTCCTTTTAACCCAAGATTTAGCTTCCCTGGATACCCTGTATCCCACTTGGTGAAAAATCTGACATCGATGCCAGGAAAAACCATTGATCTTGCACAGACTGTCTTAACCCTACCAGCTCCAGCTAGAAAAATGTACATTCTAGTGCTCAGCTGCCAAAACTAGGATTGAACTCCAGTGAAAAACTCCCTGCCATCCCCTGCTATCCCCCAATAACAGTGGAGCAGGGAAAAATCTTTGCTGCAATTTGCCCCTTGGCTCTCCTATCTACCAAGATACTGAAATTTGTTACAACTTGTTGGCAAGCTAGAGCCGGAAGTATACTTGGTTTAGTGGACTGTGCCTCTTGGAGACAAACCTGGTTTAAGAATTAGTTTAATGGAATCCCATTCTTGGGTAAGTATGAAACACATTTGTTTAAAGGAAAACCCTCCTGAAATATTTTATGTCAATTAGGCAAGAGAAATAGGGTACTATAGTCAGAGACCACGTCTCTTTTGCAGACTTTAACTCTTAAAATTCACCCAACTAAGTCTGCTTAGTTATTATAGAAAATTGTTATTCCAGTAAAGCTAATTGCCAATATGTACCAAGAGGCTTAAAAATGTTCACACCTGTGTATGTAAATGCATACAAAATGCATATAACAAAGTGATATTGCTGATTACTTCTGGGGAGAAGAGCAGGAACTAAGATGGAAGTGGTCAGCAGGGATTTCAGTCATATCTACAATGTATTATATATTAAATAATATAATTAATTTTAATAACAGAAAAATATCCTCCCACAGCTAAGACTGTCTCCCAAGGAAATAATAAGAAATTCAATGCAGAAAAAATCAAAAAAACAACAAAATGTCCTAAAATAGGAAATGGCTTAAACAAGTTAAGGAATATTAATTTAAGTCTATTTTATATAATAACAAAAAGCTATATTAAGTAATTTCTTATTACATTAAACAGTGTTAACAACATACTATTAACTTAAAAATATCTGTCTACAGAACTATACTGAGCATAATCCCAATTTTGGTGGGTGAAAATGATATGCACACCCTCCCCAACATGTTATTAGTAGTTACTACTGGTTGGTGAAATTGTTTTCTTTGTTATACTTGACTGTGTTTTCCAAAGTTTCTCCAACTTGGCTTCTAGACTCTGGTTTCAACATGCTTTTATATTTGTCTTTGATTTTGTGTTACAGGCGTGCTTGTGTGATTCGAGGCCAAGTGGTGGCAGTAGATGGAACCCCTCTAGTAGGGGTGAATGTTAGTTTCTTGCACCACAGTGATTATGGGTTTACCATCAGCCGGCAAGATGGAAGGTAGGTCAATATTGCTTCTGATCATTGATGGGGGCCAAATACTGACTTCTAAACATGAGTGAAACCAGGCCTCAGGGGATGTAATACTTGTAAGCCCATATTTCTTCTGGCTGTATCTTGAAAAGTCCTTGGTAATATTTATCTCCTCTATTCCCCACCTAAATCAAACCAAATTTCTCTTCTAACCCTGTACTCATACTCTCAAATCTTCTTGAAACCCTGATCATGTGAAAAGTTTTCTAGCCTCCATCTAATTCCATTTATAAAGCCAGCTTCAACATTCAGTGAGGCGATGCAGGTAGTAAAGAGGGAGCCATGGACCACACAGGCCGTGACAGCCTCAAAATATTTTAGAAATAAATGTGTCCAAAATGTTTCTCTCAAAGGTATAGAATTCAACGACATTAAGACTTTTTTAAAAATGCGTTCTTCCTAGACTGCTTATTTTACTAGTGGCTGAAACTGGTTGACAAACAGTCATCCTAACCAATTGCCTTTGGTGTCTATATAACCATAGTGATTTAACCTTAAGCTCCAACCACAAAGCTGCTCTCTAAGGGCTTCTCAAGGCTGAGACTTGGGAAGCACAACCACTAGGGAAAATCTTTTCTTCCTTGAAATGGATTTGCGCATCGCTTCTCGGCCTTTTGGCTAAGATCAAGTGTGAAATGGATTTGCTCACAAAAACATTTTTGTTGCTGTTGTTTAGACAGACATTTATTAGAATAGTTGAGCCAATAGAACCATGCATCCAAAAGTATTTATGATGCTCAGGAACATTGTAATAATGACTTTGAGGTACCCTAAGTCTCCAGGTGGCTACCCTTAAAATGTCATACTCATGACAAGCCACTTCAGTACTCACATAAAGAGGCCAGTTGGCTTGGAGCTTTATTACAGTGTGAGAAACTATCTCATTTCAAGAATTTACAATCAATTCCAAACCACTCTGGAGTTGTTAATTGTTCAACTTCAGCTAACTGAATTTAGTTTTCAACTGCTTGTCAAGAAAATGCTTATAAAAATTAGTTAAAGAAGATAATACGGAAGAGTTTTAACCTATATAAGAAAACAACTAATCATATGGATTTTTATATAAATTATTATCAACTAGCCATCTCTTCATTGTAACAAGTTCAGCAGAGTTACTCTGGATGCAGGTAGTCTGAAGAAAAAAATATATATATATAAAAAATATATATATATATAGAGAGAGAGAAGAGAGAGAGAGAGAGAGAGAGAGAGAGAGAGAGAGAGAGAGAGAGAGAAAGACTAAGCAACCGTTAAGGTGGAACAACTAGAATGGACCAGAATGACCACTTCCTATGATGTGCACTGACACCAGGGGGAAGACGCTTAACACAGAGCTGCCCCCTGGTGGTCAGTGTGCTCCCACAGGAGGAGCACTGCTCAGTCAGAAGCCGGGCTCACTGCTGGCAAGCACAGCGGCAGTGGTGGGAACCTCTCCCACCTCCATGGCAGCGTTAAGAAGCAGCGAACTAAGTGGTAAGGAGCAGTGAACAGGCGAGTGTTAAGGAGCAAGGGGTTGTGGGCTGCGAGAGGGCACGGGCCAGGCTGAGGGACCCCCCCATGCACTAATTTTGTGCACCGGGCCTCCAGCATATATATAAAAGGCTAATATGCTAAGGGTCCATCCAACCATCCCACCGGTCGCTATGATGCACACTGACCACCAGGGGGCAGACGCTCAATGCAGGAGCTGCCAAGCTGCAGTGACTTGGCAGCTGGGTTCTCAGGTGACACACCCCAAAACCAGAGAGGAGGGAGCCTGATTCCTTCCTCGAGGGGCCTCACAATTCCACCTTTGGCCATGGGTTATGTTATTGCTGGGGCACTGTCAGTCCTGAATCTGGTTTGCTGCACACTTGCGTTTGCTTTCCACACCTTGTACGACAGCAACTTTGCAGAGTGCCCTCTTGCACTCCAGGGCCCCTCAGGGGATGTTGGAGAGCCTATTTCAGCCAATCCCCACAGGCCAGGCCGAGGGACCCCACTTGCCGGAGGGACGCCGCTCACTCCACAGACGCCGGGAAGGGACCACAGGAGGTTGGCTCCAGGCGTGTACAGCCCTTCTTGCCCAGTCCCACCCCACTGGCCACCTTCTAATTAATTTTCTTTCAATGTCCATGAATCCATTCACTGGGTCACTAGGTGTGTGTGTGTGTGTGTGTGTGTGTGTGTATACACACACACACACACATGCTATACACATTCACACGTATATATTGCTTATGTCTGTATACATGAACAATACAAACTGAATTTCCTTTCAAATATTCTATAATTGGCTCATTAGTAATTCAAATGGATCCTTCTCCCAATTAGATGGAATGATGGAATTTTACTAGTTCACTCACCAGTAGCTGGTTCACAAAACTGACCTCTCCCTCACCAGTATGTTCCAGAAAATGAGAAATGGATTATTGCTTTAAAAAGACTATGCCCTTGGGGACATTTGACTGCTCATGGAGAAATGATGGGCCCTCAGTTTTTTTTAGCTTGTGTATAAAGTTTTCAGTGAATTGTTTGATATTCATAAGAGAACATAAAAGAAACTTGATGTCTAAAAAGCCTAACAATTTGTTCCAATTTATAGAAAAATATTAAAGAGGGGCATTTTTTGTGTTTTTAGTTTTAAATAAAATGCCAAGACCCTCTTCCCTGAGCTCACTGTAAGTTTATGTAGATGACAGATACTAGCCAGAGTCCCCTCTGGCTATAACTCTTCCCTCAGGCTCCACAAAGGGTGTCAGCATTCAAAATATGTTTCCCAAATGCCAACCAGACTGTCCTGTTGTCATCTCTTGGACATAAAGTGACAATCTGATGAGAGTTTCCATTTATATGTCTCTGCTTATTGCTACCTCAGATTGAGTAAGTACATTTCAGAAGCAGCATATCATAAGGAAGCTAGACCTGAGGGCAAAAAGGATTATAGAAAGGCTGAGATTAGCATTTAGATACCTATTAGGTCAGAGTGTGACATGCAAGATAAGATCAGATTGCAAGACCCTCTGTCTCCAATTCTCAATCCCACTGGCCTGCTTCTGTGCCTGTAGTTCCCACCAAAAAGATCACTTCTTTTGATGAAGCTATTGACTCTCTCAAAAACCCCGTTAAATGTAAATATGTGGGATTTGGAAATAATTACCATCATCATCCATTTGCACCAATTGATTAACAACTTTCCCTAGAGAAACAGAAAAAGTCTAGATCATGGGACCAAAGTGATGCATGAAAAGCAGAGGGAAGCATGGGAGTGGACACACGGCCCTCTAAAAGTAAGAATAGATAATGCAGATTGGGAGGCACCAAAGTATCAGAAAAGTAAAAAAGGCAATTCTAAAAGAGAAACAAATATGTATGAGTATCTACTCTATGCCAGGCATTTACATGAATGTCATTGTTTCATCCTCACAACAACTTTATGAGCTAGAAATCATTAATATCATCCTCCCCACTTGCAGATGAGAAGACTTATCCAAATTAACACAGCTAATAAGGTAGAGCCCAAAAGTGAACCCAAGTAATCTGGCTCTTATCTTCTATGATTTACCACCTTCAACTTAGAGAGCAGGTGCTCAGTTAAGTGTTGAAGAAAACTATAAATATTTTAGCTAGTGACAAGCCAAATAGGTGATTCTTGAGAAGCACTAAAGGTCTCAAAAACTGTGTTTGGAATACTTCATAAGATGAAGAGAAGGTTCCCTCTGATTCTCCTATATATGCTTGACTCTTGACTTTTTAAAAATATTTCTTAATTGATTTTTAGAGAGAATGAAAGGGAGAAGGAGAGAGAGAAAGAGAGAAATATTGATTGGCTAGCCCACAACCCAGGCATGTTCTCTGACTGGTAAACTGGCAGCCTTTCAGTGCATGGACCAACCAGTGTCCAAATGACTGAGCCACACTGGCCAGGGCTTAATTCTTGTCTTCATGCCATTTACTCATTTACAGTAGTAGGTGAGTGATAGATCATGTTAGCCCACTTTACTAATGAGGAAACTGACACTCATGGATGTTAAAAAACTAGCCCAAAGACACAAAGTTAACAGGGCAGAACTGGGATTTGAACCCAGGTGCAGATGAAGCCAAAATCACATTCTTCCTGAAAAACAAGAAGCTTGCCCTGTCTGCTTAATTTTTCTAGAAGTAGGGAATAATTCCCAGGGACATATGTTCTTGCTTAGATAGTTTATTTTGTATTTTTGTTGTTTCTGCTTGTGTTTGTTTTCAAATAAATAAGCACTTCAGTTTAAAAGAGTCAAGAACTAAGATTTGGGTGAAGCGAATAAACTTGCCCAAGGGCATAGAGTTAAATCAATGTAGAATGTGAACTAGAGGAAAGGTCTCTTGGCAAGTTATGTTGGATTTTCCCCACTATACTTGCCTTAAACTGTTCCTGTATTATCATAAATTCAACCTCTCTGTCTTAAACCATAACCATAAACGGTTTGGGTTTTCTTTTTTTAGTTCAAACCTAGATTATTTTCTATAGCTAATGCAGTTTTTCAAATCCTCTTTTTGGAAACTACCTTAATATTACAGCTACTTCACTGAAAAGGGACAATAAACTATACAGTATTACTCATCCTTTGTTACTGTCCATTTATCTTTATCTGGAAGATTTCTGCAACAAGATACAATTAGTAATGCTATAATAAATACAATAAATGTCATATGAAGGGAGTGGTGAGCGCTCCATAATTAAGTCTGATTACCTATCAGGGCATTTTATCATTGAAAAGGTGTTTTCAGAAAGATCGTTTTTGGATAGAGGGAATTATTACATCTCTCGTGTGGATTCAAGTTGCTTTGAATATTAAGGAGCATCATATTGCCCTTTATCCATTTTTTAGTTCTAATGGTAAAAATTATCATTATCTTACTTTTACATAGTATTTTATGCGTTTTGAATGCTTTCAAGCACATTATCATTATACTTAGAAGGGGAGTAAGGAAGAACCACATAGTACAGAATAAACGGAAACTTGAATCTGTTATGCTCCACTGCAAGAGTCATGTAAGAGATGCACTTGCAGAAGAGGTGGTCTTGCTTTGTCAGAGATATGGAGGGAATTGTCAGTGGAGATGGACAGGATCCATTACAGGCTTCCTTAAAAAAGAAGAGCAAGAGGCTTTCTAAAAGGAAGCAGGAATCCTAAATACAGACTTCAAGTAGAATCAGGAGCCAATGGGGATAGTCATATTTTCAGGGTACAAGTATGTATTGTTCAAGCAAATTTCACTGAACAATTTTCCTCTTCTGCCTTCTTTCTCCAAATACCATCTCAAAGACACCATCAGGTTTCTGACACTATGTTTGTGATCCTGAACGAGATATTTAACCTTTTGCCTCCTACTTTTCTTGATTTTTTTTTTTTGAGGATGAATAATACATTAGATGCTGCTGAATGTGAAATGGTCATCTTTCAGTTATCTCTAGCACAAAGGGTAGCAGTGATATCGCATTTGACTTTGCAGAAATGAATGCAGTAGTTTTGTTTAAGATAGTATTAAATTGGCTTACAAATTCAGGGTGAATATCAACTGGTGATAAGAAATTTTTTCTCAGAAGTCTACTGGATAGTGAAAAGAAGTCATCCATGGAATGAATACTGAGCTAGAGGGAACTTATAACAGACAATATGAATGGATATATTGAGTTCCAAAAAAGGAAAGTACACTAAAGTTACCTATTTTTTAACTTTATTTTGGTTGTTCATTTGCTTAAAACTGTCTTATAATTTTCCATCTCAGCTTTGACCTCGTTGCCATCGGTGGTATCTCTGTCACCTTAATCTTTGATCGTTCACCTTTCCTGTCTGAGAAGAGGACACTCTGGTTGCCTTGGAATCAGTTTATTGTGGTGGACAAAGTAACCATGCGGAGAGTTGTATCAGACCCACCATCTTGCGATATCTCCAACTTTGTCAGCCCAAACCCTATTGTGCTTCCTTCACCGCTCACATCATTTGGAGGGTCTTGTCCAGAGAGGGGAACTATTGTTCCTGAGCTGCAGGTGAGTGTATTGGCCTTTGAAAGTATAAAATCATAGCATCTTGGGGTGCTCAACAATGCATAATGGCTAGAGTCTTTTTCCTGTACTCCTGCTAGTACTATAATGTACTGCCCTTCATTTGTCAAAAGAAGCCTTCAAATGTAATCTTTTTGGCACAGATTTTGCAAAGTGCTTGCCAGGGCGATAGGGCACTATCTGTGGCCATGGAACAAAGCAAGATGAACTAGTTGTCAAGAGAATTAAACCCCAAACCTTGACCTAATGAACACTGTGCTCTAAGGAACAAAGATAGTGGGCTCAATCGTGTTAACAGTATAATCAATAAGGTGGGAACATTTGTGCTTCTGAAATGAAAGCTCTTTAAAAAATCTAGTTTTCTTTCATTGTCAAGTTTATATCCATTGTCGTTGTTCTTAGAAGTCTTGACAATTTCTCTTTATTTAACTGTGTTTAGTGAGGGTAGTTTTCAAGGCTATGGGCTTTAATGTTTAAAGCTTTGTTTTTGAGTGTTCAAGCTTTACAATCAGAGGAACCTTGATATTTTAGGATTTCTGAAAATTTTTCTTTACTGAGCATTCAGTATTTTAACTTCAATGTTTCATTCAAACATCCATAGTACAATTCTCTCACTACATTATAGAAACATTTTAATGATAGTTAATATGGAAACCACCAAAATGAACTCAAGTCATACAGATCCAGAATTCAAAAGTATACTCAAGAAGAAATAATGGACATTCCGGGATGTTCCATCACAACATCCCCACAAACTATTAGCAGTGCCTGTAGGATACCTCTTAAGAAAAGCTCACAAAAAATAGTGCTGTATGGGACAAGGAGTCCAAAGAGTTGCCATTCCTGTCTGTTCCATTGTTTTATCTTAGAAAAAAAGTGAAAACAGGACAATATTAATGAGTACATTTGACTGGTATGCCAATCCCTTCACAGATGTCATAAGGAAGTATGGATCTCTTTCAGCACAAAAGTTTTCAAACTGATTTAGGATTGCATGTTTTCTTGGGGAAATGAAATAATAAGGTACTAAGTAGCATGCTATTTTCTTCTATTGTGCTTCTGCCACTATCTAAGAAGACAGAGCCAATAGTATCAAATAGCTAATGTAGAGCAAGAAAAAGTGGGCATTAAGTAGACAAAAGGGATTTGTGCCCCCAAAGAAAGGATTGGCACGCAGTCAGGGTTGCTCAGTGGTTGAGCATCAACCTATGAACCAGAAGGTCAGGGTTGGATTCCCGGTTGAGGCACATGCCGAGGTTTCAGGCTGATCCCTGATTTGGGGCATGCAGGAGACAGCCGATCAATGATTCTCAACACTGATGTTTCTATCCCTCTCTCTCCTTCTCCCTTCCTCTCTGAAATCAATAAAAAATATATTTAAAAAAAATAAAAGAATGGCCAGAAGTGCTGGACAATGTGAGATATGTGTTTAACTATGTGTACTAGTTGGGAAAAGGAAAAAGGGACAGGGTTCTGAGCTAAACATGAATGAGGGCACAGAAATATCCATATTGTGCATGTCACCTTAAATGTGTTGAATAGGATAGGCTGTATTTTTAAAGTCGAAAGTCATAAAATGCAAACTTTAGTTTTAGTGACCACTTTTGGTTGTTTAACTCCATCTGTGCTAATAAACAAATAAGTCACAGCAATTCATTAAAAGTAGCCAAGCAGTATTTTCACTCTGGGACTAACATATAATATAAAAATTTCAGAGGAGCTATTGGGAGTTATTTGCTTTTCAGTCACAGGTGCCAACTTGGAAAAACTACTTCCCAGCTATTGGTATAACCAGACACAGAGAAATATGTAAGCAAAATTTGATTAAAAATTTGGCCTCAGGGTCATTCCAAAGCTCCAAAGAAGACGAATTTGATGGCATCAGTAAAGATTAATTCTAGGGAATCCATAATCTCTGTCATAAAATATCACTTGCTGGGCCTGCTTCTGGAGACCTTCCTCTTAAAGACTGTAGCCTGAATAAGGATCACAGCAATAGTTTTGTGATATATGACTTAACACACTGAACAAGATTTTGTGTATGGGTGTATATAAGAAAAAGACCACTTAATGGCACCCATGTCACTGAATTGCTTGACATTCAGCAGTGTGATCTACTACTAAGCAGTGTTTAGAAAACTGTTGAAAAACTGAAATTGTACTTTTCACAGTCATTCCTGGCAGAGAAAAAGAGAGAATAGTTCTCAGAGTTGGCTGGATGGCTTGTGTCCATGCAGATTCAGTGCAGAATTAGAAACCTATGGACACACAGCCTCACAAAGATTCTAGAACAAGTGGCTTTACATCCACAGATCCCTTTAAGCTCTCTCCTCTTATCTGATTCTAAGCCAACAAAGCATGCAATGTTCTGACCTACCTGTGAGCACTGATCAGAACCAATTTGGCTTTCTTCTTTCAGGTTGTACAGGAGGAGATCCCCATTCCTTCCAGCTTTGTGAGGCTGAGTTACCTGAGCAGCCGCACCCCCGGATATAAAACACTGCTACGGATCCTTCTAACACATTCAACCATTCCCATGGGGATGGTTAAAGTACACCTCACAGTAGCTGTGGAGGGGCGACTCACCCACAAGTGGTTTCCTGCTGCAGCTAATCTCGTCTACACATTTGCTTGGAACAAGACAGACATCTATGGACAGAAGGTTTGGGGCCTGGCAGAGGCCTTGGGTATGTTGAAATAATTCTATGTAAATAGTAGTATGACAGTCGCAAAATAGAACATACTGGTTGCTTATTAATCTGCATTTGAAATAATTACAGGCTTTCTTTTATCTAAAGCAGGCGTGGGGAATCTTATTTCTGCCAAGGACCATTTGTATATTTACAACATTATTTGAGGGCCATACAAAATTATCAGCATAAAAGTCATCCTGCTATATTTGGTCAAACATTGAATTAATTCACCGCTCATGCCTTGACAGGGCCTTATATGGCCTGCAGCCTGCTGTTAACCACACCTGATCTAAAGGATCTAAGGCAGCGGTTCTCAACCTGTGGGTCGTGACCCCTTTGGCTGTCGAACGACCCTTTCACAGGGGTTGCCTAAGACCATCCTGCAAATCACATATTTACATTAGGATTCATAACAGTAGCCACATTACAGTTATGAAGTAGCAACGAAAATAATTTTATGGTTGGGTCACAACACGAGGAACTATATTTAAGGGCCAGAAGGCTGAGAACCACTGAAAGGTGTTTTTTCGTTTAAACACTTCCTTCATGCCTGGTTAGAGTTCCCTTTTGATACATTCTTGCTTGAAACAGTTTTAGTTCCCTTTTCATGATGACTATACACCAGTAGAATCACACACTCTCTGGCTTGTAACTGTCTCCAGAGCTGAGCATTACCTTCTAACTGTGACCTTTGGTGTGGTGTTCTTAGGCCATGTTTTTGGATTTGACATTTAGACTGTCATTTCCACTTAGAAACTGCAAAATTAACTTATAGGCATCTCCACTTATTACCTTTTATGTCTAAGATGGTTAGACTCCATTAAATTGTTACTTTGGTAGGTTAAATAAAAAATCATCCTACCTTCCCAGTCCTTTTGATTTTCTGTTATCTTAAGACTTTAAAACCTAGAATCTTACAGATAGCAGATACCTTAAAAGGTCCTTTGGGCTGATGGTTTTCAGATATTTAGTTCTCACAGACAAATGACATTTCTAAAAAATGAGACTGTGAAATATTTGCCAACTTTTTATTTTGGCAAATAAGGCTATTTTTAAAAGGGGGAAAACACTACTATCTACTATTACCTCCTATCACCATCCTATCTAATAAAAGAGAAACATGGTAATTAGCCATACATCCGCTACCCTTCCCATTAGCTAATCAGGGTGATATGCAAATTAACTGCCAGCCAAGATGGCAGCCGGCAGCCAGGCAGCTTGAAGCGAACATGAAGCTTGCTTGCTTCAGTGACGGAGGACTCCAACGTTCCTCGCCTACCGCTGCCAGCCTCTGAGCTTGCAGTTTGAAACATTGTTACAAATATAGAAGCTAAACAAAACCCCAAAAACCTGCTTTCAGCCAGCCAGGATCTCAGAGCTGGAGTTGATACAGTGTTTCGATTATAGAAACCAAACAAACCAGATACCTGCTTTCAGAAGCAGAGGACTCAGAGCTGGGGTA